GGATGGGAGCGCGTGCTGGGGGAGGGCGGCGGGGGCAGGGCGGCGTGCCGGATGTGCACGGGCGTGTGGAGCTAGCGGCACCTGAAAACTTGGGTCAGTTGTCTGGGGGGTTGCAATGGGTCTACCTTGCTGCTCGCTTCGAGCCTGTGGCAGCAAGCGAAGCAGCTGTTTGGGGCTGAATATTTGCGGCCCAGGGTGGCGGTCCCGCCCCCCTCATGACGTCATCTCAATCACGATGGCCTGTTGGCTGGTGCCCCCTGCACCCCACCGCCACCGCCCGCTGTCCCCAGGGACCTGAACTCGATGGCGCTGCTGACGCCGCTGCTGGGGGTGACGTCATCGGACGCCAACCTGGACCACGAGGTGGGAGGGGTGCTCGTGCGCATGCGTGCGTGCGTGCGTGCATGTGTGTGTGTGTGTGTGTATATGCATATGTATGTGCAGATGCGCGCGCGTCATGTGCGCACGTCCAGGTTGCAAGCTGGGGGCGGGCTTGAAAGCGTGTTGTGCGACTCGGGGGTTGGAGGCAAGGGCGGGTGGTGGTAGGGGCAGTGGCACAGCTGCAGGCCATGGAGCGCCGGGTTGAGGCCAGGCCGCTCAATGTGCGTGCTGGGCAGCTGCTGGAGCACAGTGTTCGGCGCAGGGCGTTCCGCCAGCCTCGCAAACATGTGACAAACGGCTGCATTTGCTGGACCCTGCCACACGTGCCGCAGTCTCAACGTTCTCTTTTCCCTCACACGTCTGACCCCAAAACCCCCCGCCCCACCCACTTGCAATCCGCCCGCCCACGCCCACCAGGTTTCATTGGCATCACACTGGTCAGAAGACGGCGCCGCACACGTATAGCAGCCGCCCACCCTTCAAAGCTTCGCCACCTGCAGCGGCGGCAGCTCCTCTTGCCACCTGCATGGCAGTGCATTGGAACATGGTGGCGGCCTGCTCCGGTCCGGTTGCACACATCCTCGGAGAGGAATGCTCCATTGCTGCCCCTGATACTCAGTGCCTTGCATGCGGGGCCGCGCAGCTGCCCAGCTCACCTGGGGCAGATGACCCAACGTGCCGGCTATTTCTTGGTCGTCTACTTCAAGGCTTTGCCAGCTGCTTGCTGCACTTGCATGGCGATGCGCCCCCATTCCGTCCCCCTGTCTGCCGTACGCACTGGGGCCAACGTAATTGTTGCTCAGATAGCACGGGCCAGGGGGGGGGGGGTAATTCTTGGACCGCCACCAAATATCACGTTTCACATACGTTTGAACGGTGCGTTCGACACACTAAACATGCAATGGAGGCTTGTTTGTTCGAATGCAGTGCACGTCATGGAGGCGAGTCCCTGTGAAGTGCGCCGGAACTGTGGCTCAAGGTGGATCGATGGGGAGCAGGGCTGCGTGTGTACCCAGCCTCAGTAGTGGCTGCACCTGACGGAAAACAGTCCGCAAAGGCGCTTGCATTTGGGTGGGATGGGCAAGCATGCAACGGGGAGCAGGCAGGTCAGTATTTATGTCTTTTTGAGGTGCTTGTGGGTACTGTTTTGCATGCATTACAGACACCACATCAGGTTTTTTCAAGGCGAATCTTGTCAAGCCTGTCGACTGGTGTTCTGGTGGTTGGTGTGCCCCTGTTCACGCTCCGCGCGCCGACCTGCTGCAAGTTGACTAGCAGCGGGCACCATCGGTTCAACATGGGACTACGCAGTAGCATTTCTGCTGCGGCAAAGCACGGGTTTTGTCGGGGTGCTCAATGCCAAAGGCATGAAAGGTGGGGTGCGTTGGCCAAGGCGCGTCTGCAATGGGTGTGCACCACTTTATGACAAGCACTGCAGCACACGGCACCATTCACAGACCCCAAACAACATTCACCGCAACAGCATCCCAAGCCCGTGCAGCTTGGCAGGCGCACATACCACCGCCAGGGCAGTTGTGTGAGGGGCGCCTCAGTCGAGCCAGCGGCACTCGAGCACAGAGCTATGACAACCCGCCAAGATGCTGACGCATGGGTTATGTCTGGGAAATTCAGGCATTTAGAGGTCGTTTGACCGTAACGGTAGTACCCAAATTGAACACATGTGATTCACCGCGAGTTCACGCGGCCAACCCGAGGAACGACGTACCTACCTTCGCACGTTCACAAAGGTAAGCCGTGTCTAGATGCGCACCTGGTCGCAGGATGGCGTGCACACCTCCTGTCTGGCAGGCTGTTGTTTTGAGCCGCGTGAGAATGGTGACTCGGCGAGCGCCCCGCTGACATAGCCGCACCGCCTTACCCCCCCCCCTCCCCCATTCCCCTACACAGTCTCTCCTAAACAGACTCTCGGCTCGCGTTCAAGCAAGATGGCGGCCCCGCGCCTGCCTGCTTACCTGACCACCATGACCCTCCTGCTCTTCGCCGCTCAGGTCGCCAGCGCCCGCCGCCTGCGCAACAACCCAGCCCCGCAACAAAGCACCACGCCCACGCCCGCGGCCCCCGCCAGCCCCGCCAGCGTCGCCGCTGCAAGCGCCTCCGCCGCCGGACAGAGCACCCCTGCCGCCGGCCCCGCCGCCGTTGGCGCTTCGGACGTCGCCCGCCCCCTGGCCAACCCTGCCACGCCGTGTTTGTTCGGCGCCTGCGCCTGCAGCTGCCCGAGCCCCGACTGCCCCTGCCCTTTCACCATACCCTCCAGCAAAATCGTTCGCACAGAAGACCTGGTCGCCATCCCTGGCGGCTTTGCCATTGAGCGCGACAAACGCAACCGCGACGTCTACAAGCAGCAGCAGTATGAGCTGGGCCCGTCGGCGGACGGCCGCGCGCGCCGCGGCCTCCCTTACCAGCCGTGCGTGAGGTGCCGCGACTGCAGCCGCTTTGACGGCTGGTGCAAGAGCCATTGCAACGACTCGTGCCCGGCGGGTGGGGACGGCCGCGCCGCTGGCCGCGCCGACGGCCGTGGCGGCCTCATCGTCGATGATGCGCGAGGCTGATCGCTTGCATCCGCTTCAACCGCCTTGGCGACTGTCCAAATGAATCGCTGCATGAGCCTGCTGCGGCCCTTTGTCACGTACAGCCTGGCCGCCATCAGCCTCTTGACGTTTGTATGAGCCCCACACGCACAGTTGTTGAAAGCACAGCAGCTGCCCAGGCTCGCAACATGATGGCGTGCACCGAAGGACACCAGCTTCACTGCTTGGCCCCTACCATAAACACAGGGGGTGCGCTCGACTAGCATACCTTCCTTGCCCAGCTGTTGCAAATGACGTCGACAGCCACCATATTTAACAAAACTTCACGCGGGAAGGGTCATGGCTGCTTTGCTGATGTGCATCAGCTTTCTATCCCGGAGTTGCTGCCACTTTGCAACCACCACCACCACCATCATGCATGTGTCATGGCCCGTTGCCATGTCGCACACATGCGCACATCGACATGTTTCGCTTCCACATCTTTCACCACACAACACAAGTTGCATGTTGGCTATGCGGTTCCGGTATGGTTGCCAATCGCCAAGGTTTGCTTCTCTTGTGGATCACCTCCCATCGGACAGGCTTCTCTAACCTGTTGTTATAGATGTGTCAACCTGCACATTTCCGAGTGTCCTGGATATGGTCACATGTCATCAAGAAAATTTGCACACGTGGTGAGCCGCAGTGATGGTTTGCGACAGTTCCAACACGAGGCGCAGCAACGGCGTTGGGCGGGGGATGGGGGACGCTGGTGACTAGGGCTTGGTGTAGCAGCAAGTGCATTCACGTTGGAGTGTACCTGCCACTCCGGTCACTCAGTGCCGATGAGTGCCGCAGTGACTAATTGACCGTGTCAACACTCCCAGGCGCACGCGTCCAAAGGTGATACAAGGAGGTTAGCAAGACGTCTAATAGATAGCCAAACTCAGCTACCCGCCGCCTGACCCACGGATCACTGTTTCGACACAGCGCGCGCAGCACAATGGCCAGGACGAAGGCGACAAACGCCAAGGAGGCCACCGTATCGACAAGGAAAACCCTTTCTGCCATAGTCGCTCGCAAGAGCACAGATCCCCCCATGGCAGCGAGCACCGCCCAGCGCAAGGGCGCCCCCAAGAGCGGCGGCGTCGCCAAGCGCAGTGGCGGACCCAAGGCCGGCACCAAGAGCAAGAAGAAGGCCTCCGACACAGATGCAACCAGTAAGTGCTGACTCCCCAGGCGTGGCGCAAGCGTCGCTGTACCTGGCATGCTGGCAGGAGCGTGGCAGCAAGCATATGTCCCATGTGATGGTATGCCGGAAACCAGCACAACTCGGGGCACCCGATCCTGATTCTGCAGCGCCGCCCCTGGCTACTTCTACGCTGTCCCACCCTCCCAGCCCCAACCCTCACCGCTGTCCTCCCCCTCGCTCCGTCATGTTGCCTACCTCTTGGCCCTCTCGGCGCCGTCCCTGCCTCTGCTTCCGCTAACCCGCGCCACGTGGTGCAGGCTGCGTCGTGTCTTCCCTGGAGGAGTGGGTGCCCGACGGCTTCCACTCCTACCAGGGCCCCGGGGAAAGGGCAGTGCACGGCGTGTACGCCTCGCTCGCGGCGGCCAACAGGGCGGCGCGCGACGTCTTCTTCAAGAAGAACCCGTTGGGCCTCGACGCAGTGAGCATTGGTGGGGGCCAAAGGTTGGGGAGAGGGGGACGCTGTCCCCGCTGCTGTCCATGGGAGGGCTGCGCCACGGGCCCAGTTCATGGGTGGCATTGCCGCTGACGGCGAGGGCCTTTGCGGCGGGCTGCTTCCGGATCTGAGCCAAGAGGCGTCGTGCCCCAGGGCGCGCGCCACAGACAAACCAGCACGTCCAGTGCATCAGTAGCTCCGGCAGTCCAGGTCGCACCCTGCTGCCGTCGTGCACAACGGGCGCATGTGCACAATGGGCTCCGGATGGGCTGGGAGCCGAGATAGATGCATGCGCATACAACTCAACACGTGCACGTGTCTCGCAACCCCGTGAACTGTACAAAATTCAAATGGCACAATATGCAGGAGGAGCTGAAGGAGCGCAGGGACATCTTTGAGGACGAGAGGCGCGGCGGCATGCTGCACATTTCGGTGCACCCCGCCGACAGCCCGCGCTGGGAGGTCAGGGTGGAGCGCGTCGCCGGCAGCTGAGACGGGCGGCTGAGGGGCCCCAGCATCCTCTCTGCTGGTGACTCAATGGCTGCCGCCGGTGGGGCATGGCTACAGGAGGGCGTGCGGAGCATCAGACTGCCAGAACACCACGAACGCACTGCGGCACCCCAGTACAGTTGAGCAAGATGTCGATTTTGATTGAGACCAAATAAAGATGTGTTGGTTCGTTGTAACACAGTTGTTGTTCTACTTCCAGACATGGCGGATAGCAGCGTAGGTGGGGTCAACAACCACCGCGCAGTGGCCCTTGGACTGCATCAGATTGCCGGTCTGCGGGGGTGGGGGGGGGGGGCGGTGGCGAGCGTGCAGTCTGGTTTCCTTCTGCTGCCTTGCCTGCCGCGGCAATAGGCTACCTTTGAATAGAGATTGTGATAAAGATCACTGCTTCGCCATCTGAGCTGAAGCTGCAGCCACTCGTCCACGCATGCACGAAGCCACATCGCCTTTACTGATCATATGTTAGGCGCGTGACCTGAGGCAATTTGTTAATCGTACTGTGTGCACATCAACGCTCAAAAGAGCTTCAATTAAGCCATGGCAGACTTTGACCACCAGCACGACTTCGTGCAGGCGACGATCCAGGAAGTGCTGGCGCGGGTGGACCTCGCGGATGCTAATGAAGCTTGCTCTGGCTTTGAGAGCGACCCTATGGCGCCAGCGGGTGAGCGGTACTGCACTAAGCGGCACTTTCGCACCACTGGGCGCCGCGCAGCAGCTGCGCGCACCGACACAGGGCCGTGCTTATTAAACTAAATCCGCAAACACCTTGATGCTGAGCAGGGGCATGCACCGGGGGAAGTGAGGGATCAGGCGGCGCTCGACAGCAGCAGACGCTTTCAGGGCGCGCCACGGGTGCCGCCTCGCGGACGGCATCCGGCGCCGGCGCATCCGCGAGCGGCCGCCTGGACACGTCCATGCTGGAGCTGCCCGGCAACAGCGAGGCCACCATACGGCTGCTCAAGGCGAGGGTTAGGGCGCTGGAGGAGCAGATGCAGGTGGCGGTTGACGGCGCAGCAGGTGAGGAGGGGCAAGCCATGCCGGGCTGCAGAGTGCGTGTCGGGCTGCAATGCATGCAAGGGCAGCACGCTGACGGCCGCACGTGAGGAGGAAGCCTAAGATTCGCGGCTCGCGAGGCTTGGGACGCTCATGTGTCTGACCTTGCCATATACAGCTTGTTCCTTGCACCAGCGATCCACCTGCCCCCGTGGCCCCAGGCAGGGACGCGGCCCTGGCAGAGTCGCAGCGGGAGGTGCGGGCACTGCAGCAGGACAAGGCTGCAGCGGCAAAGGCCCACAAGGCGCTGGAGGCGCAGGTAGGGCGAGCCTCGAACATAAGGTTGGGTCGGGAAGTGTGGAACGAGGTGCGTGACGGTCGGCACGGTGCACGACTTGCACGTGAATCTGCACTGTGAGCGCCCAGCAGCGGCAAAACATGAGCCCCGCGTGGCCCCGCCCCTGCGCCAGGTGGAACGCTACAAGCGCGCCGCGCAGTCGGCCCGCGAGGCGCAGGCCGCGCAGGAGGCGGCTCTGAAGGAGCGCGAGAGGGAGGAGGCCAAGGCCGGCAGCAGCAGGTGCGCGCGCCCTGGGCGTTCCCGCCACCCGGAATGCCCTGTCGCCTGCATTGCCTACTGGCTGGGGGCCTGTGATGCATCCCACCATAGAACAAGCATGCGATTTGTTGGCGCGCGTTCTTGCTTCGACGGCGGCCTCGTGGCCGCGGTGCGTCAACGCAGGAAGCTTGCCGAGCAGGAGTCGCGGGCGCGCGAGGTGCGGCTGGCGCGGGCGCTGGAGGAGGTGGAGCGCCACAAGGCGCTGCTGCAGGAGGTCAAGGCACAGGTGTGTGTGTGTGTGTGTGTGTGTGTGTGTGTGTGTGTGTGTGTGTGTGTGTGTGTGTGTGTGTAAGAAATGAGGGCTCAGGCCAGGGCTGCGGCGGTGGTCAATGTGACCTGCTGTGAAGGGCTGCGGCCGGACCTGAGAAGCAGGCTCGTCGTTAAAACGACGGTCTCATGTCGCCGCCACGGCGCGCGCTTGCTGGTTGTGTCGACCGCTAGGAGCGCGACGGCCGTGATGTGGCCAAGACGGACTACCAGCGGCTGGCGGCAGACCACGCCAAGCTGGAGCGGCAGAAGAACACGCTCCTGGCGGCCTTCAGGTGCGGCGGCGCCGTGCAGCGACAACGGCGTGGTCAGGGGTGTTCGTGGGCTCAAGCCACCGTTGATACAGTCCGGATACGGTCCTGCTCAATGTTCAAGCGAGCTGCGAGGCTGCTGCTCAGGCGGCGCCATGTCGCGCCCCTCTGCTCGCCAACAGGAAGCAGTTGCGGCTGATCGATGTGCTGCGGCGCCAGAAGGCGCACTTGGAGGCTGCACGCTGCCTCGCCTTCACGGAGGAGGAGTTCATGCGCGCACTGGAGACGGGGCAGTGACGACGAGGGCGGCCGCACGTATTGATGCTGGGTGGCTGGTTGCTCCGCCTTGGTGGCGCCAGGCCAGCTCACCGGCCCGCGGTCCATTTAATGTATAACTTGAGGCCAGAGCGCGCATGGACGGCGAGTGCCGCGCCCCCTCCCCCTTCTGACCTGTTGCGCTCCCTTGCTTCCATGAGACTTCATCAGCGGCAGCCTGGCGGCATTACTAAAAGCCCTGTTTCGTGCTGAGGATGCGACATGTTCGGTCGTTGAGCACCGGGGTGTATATCATGTGCATAAGTAACGCTTTTGACACCTCCTCGCTATCACCTGCAAGCGATTTTCCTAGCGATCTACAGAAGCCGGAACTCGGCCAGTGCTGCCTGCAGCTGATTGCCTGTCACAGTCCCAAACATTCGTGTGCACCATAGCATCAGCGTTGCAGATATATCACGAGTCTGCGCACATGTGCTGAGCTGAATCTGCCCGCTTGATAAACAGCCCAGCGGGTAACCCGCGGCCTGCGTACGACTTGGCAGTCTGTTCGTAGCTTTGGTACTTCGCGAACTTCAGGAGAGATCGCGCAGCCCCCGGGAAGTACAGCAGCTGCAGCAGTGCGGAGCAGCTGAGCGCTGCTGCTGAGCTGGGGTGTGCGCTGCGCCAAGCAGCACGCTGTTGTCGAGCTTAACGACCAACAGTTCCCAGGCGCAAGCTTGCAGAAATACTAGGAATGCTGCGGAACGCCACTCAGCGGCTGCTGCAGCACGCCGCGGCAGCGGCGCAGGGGCAGCAGCAGCTGCAGCTGCAGCAGCAGTGGGGCCCTGCGCCCGCGTCGGTGGTGGTGCGGTGGTTTTCGGAGCCCACCAACTCGGCTAAGGAGGCAGTCGAGCGGACACTGGTGGTCAACACCCTTGATATGGTGGGGGGGCGGGAGATGGGGGCAGAGCATCAAACGGCGCCTCCTACCTCGGTCGCGGGCAAACAACATGCGTGGGGCCCGCTCAATTTGCTCGAGGGGCACCCCGGGCGCGCACGCGTCACTCGCGAGCGACGGGAAGGAGGGCAGGGGTGCGGGGACTGCAGTATTTCAGAAGAGCCCTCAGCCGCCCCGCCCGACCCCACTCAGCACAGCACCCCCGCACCGCACTGCCATTTGCCTCGGCGCCGACCCCACGCCCCCACCCCTCTTGGGCGGCTGCGCCGCCCCCCGCGGCAGGCCAAGAAGTTTGAGTCTGCGGGGTTGTCGCGGCAGCAGGCAGAGGCGCTGACGGAGCACATTACGACTCAGGTCATCCTGGACCGCTGCAGGCTGAGCGAGAAGTTCGTGGCAAAGGCGGATTTGGAAAAGGTGGGCCGCTCGTGCATGTGTAAGGGCGTTACAGGCGTTGGTTTTTTACGTGGGGAACAAACGTATGATCAAAGCGGTGTGGGGAGCAGCAGGGAGGAATACAGCCTGGAGTTGTGGGCACAGTCTTGTGGGGGTGGGGTGGGTGGAGGGTCACAGCCGCAGCCACGCAAGCAGTAGGTCGGCAGCATGGAGGGGCCTGCCGCCTGCGCCGAAGCGGTTTAGGCAGTTGACAATCGCGAGCACCCGCCGGGACCGTGAGGCTGATCACCTCAACGTGTGCGTTGCTGCTGCAGGCCCGCAGCTGGTCGTGTGAGGGCAGCCGCCCCTAGCTCGAGGCACCCCCACCACCCCCTCTTGCCGCCGCCCACCTTGGCGCCATTTCCAAACCACCCCGTGCCGCAGCTGCTGATAGAGCAGGACGCGCGCGTGAGCAGCTTCAAGGCGGAGCTGGTGCAGAAGCAGGAGGGGCACCTGGTGGGCTGGGCTGGGGGCGCGGGGGGTGTCAACACGCAGCGGTTGGGGTTGGGGTGTGGGGGTTGGAACGAGCACGTGGCCGTGGGGTCAGTTTGACAACTGGGCAGGAACACGGCCGGGGGGAGGGTGCGCGGCTGCGCGGGTGCCGCTCTGTGCCCCTGCGCCGGCAGCTGGCAGTCAGTCAGACGGCGGGTGTGTGCAAAGTGGCATCTGACATCGACCATTTCGCCCCACAGCACCACACCCTCCGATGTGATCCAGCTCCCCTCACCCCACCCACTCCTCCTTGCCCCTGAAGCCCCTCCCCCCCTGCCCGCCCTCCTGCCTTCCCTGGGAGAGGGCCCCTCACCCC